ATGTTGAAATGAAAAACGACTATGAAGAATATGATGATAGAGAATGTTATTATGAATATGAATGTCAAACTGGTTGTTTGAAGCACAATCAAAAGATGTTAAAGAATAAGACAATTGATTGTATCATTACTAGTAGTTTTAGGATGAAATATTATATGGATAATCATTTGGCTCTTGTTACTTATTGGCTTTGTTTCAATGCATATCTTCTTTAATAAAATCAATATTTTAGAACAACAAAAAGGGTATAAGATTTATGAACAAGTAACATTAAAAAGAGATGTTGTATATTCATTTGCACTTTGCACAAGTAAATTTTGTGAAATGAACGGAACTATATGGTACAATAAAATTCACAATTAGATAATAAATTCTTAAACGTAGAGAATAAAAATGATGAATGTTTAGAATATATTAATATTCCAAGGAACCATCCGAAAGAAATAGAAAAAGAAGAAAATATTTCATTCAAAATAATTCTAATAAATGTGATTTTTATTGATGGGAAGAAATAACATAAGTTCAATTACTTTGTTTATTTAAAATTATTGAATTTTGAAGTGGAGATAGTTTAATATCACTTCTTCTTTATAATGAAAATAAATTCATAGAAGAAGTTTAAAAAAGTATTTTTTAGGTAAAAAAATAAAAAAGGATTTTAATACAATTTTGATTATTGTTTATTGTCATTTATCATTGTTTTCTTTAATGAACAAGAATAATAAAATAGAAGAAAATGTAAAGTTGAAGAAATAAAAATAACATTATTAAAAATCATCCCATATTGATGTTGTTTTCTTTCTTATATTATCTTCTTCATCTTGCTCATTCCCTCCAAAAAGAAATTCATCCTCTTCAGGAATTTGACTTGTGGTTTGTTTCAATGTCTGCAAAATTGTACTCAATTTGATTGATGACTTTGTTTGTTTATTTTCTTCATTCTTTAAAATTAAAGGTTTTTGAATATATTTATTTTCTTGACTTTCTTTAACTTTTTCATCTTTTATTTTTTGAGAGTTATTATCAAATAATGCTAATATTTCTTCAATATCATTTATTTCTTCATTTATTTCTTTTTCTTTGGAAAGTTTTATTGTTTGTGTTTTAGTTGTTATTTGTCTTTTTATTTGTTTCTCTTCTTTTTCTTTACATCTCTTTGACTTTTCTGTTTTTCTTTTCTTTTCCTCGTCTTTCGTTTCAAATGGTTTTATCATTTTCTGATATAAATCACCTTCTTCAACTTCTTCTTCCTCAAATTCTTTCCAAATGGATTGTTCTCCTTTGTTTATCCTTTTTTGTTCTTCTTCTTCCGTAATATACAAAACTTTGTCTTCTTCTTCTTCTTTTTGTTTAACTTGTTTTTCAATGTTTTGTTCTTCTTCTATTATTCTTTTTTCATTATACTCTCCACATAATTGTCTTAAATCCTTTGCTTGATTAGATATACCAAATATGTGTTTGTACGATTGCTTTGCTCCACAAACTTTGCACTCAAATTTCTTCGTTTTCTTCTTAATATGCACTTGAAACATTTTGCATGAAAAACATTGTAATAACACAAATTCTTGTGCCATTTATTATTAAGTTTTCACCTTAAAGAACTTCTGGGTTTATTCTTTAGTTCCTCATAAAATTATTTGAATTTTATATTTTCTTCCTTTGTTTATTCTTTATTATTTTTCTAATGTTGGTGGATATTTTCCCATTACAAATATTACATCATCTGTCATTTCTTGGTTATTGAGCATTGTCATTCAGTGCTGTAAAGAAACTCAAACATGACATAGAAGTTCATCGTTGTACAACAGAATGAATGTCAATATCAATATATTTCATAGAATTAATAAGATGAATGGTAAAAGAAATATAAGGAAAAAGGATTGGAAGACGAAAAACACAAAGAAAAACAAATA